GACAGTGATGAAGAACAGTTGGGACAAATCACGGATGCACGAATGCGCAGGAAGGAGAAGCGAGTAGGACAGAGGAATGCAATGGGGCGGCTCCAAAGGCAAAGGAGAAGGCATTAGGAAGCCACGCCTTGGCTGAATTATAAAAGGGAAGTTGTGGGAGGTGCTGGTTGCCGAAGGTAACCGTTCGTGTTGAGTATCGAGTTTCTGTGGACTGTGTTTGTTTGCCTTGGACATTGACTCAGGTCTGTGAGAATAAAAGGGGTTGGTTTTTTCTTGCGGTTCCTGCCTGTTTCTTGGAAGAGGATTTTCTCCTTGTGAGTATAACAAGGACTCACGTAGGCTGGGACAGAACAGCGGTGCCTTTGACTTACGATCACAGCTGAGCCCAAAACTTTCCTTTCTAAGTGAAACAAGAGTTCAGTGAGTTTTGCCCCGTCTTATGGCCATTTTTTCTACAGTTGTTAAAGTGAATCATTGCTGTTGCTAAGGGAACTTGCATGTGGCTGTTCAGCAAATCAGGCTTCCACCATTGTCGGAAACAAACTGGGAAGTTACGAATGGTTATCCCGGGACAATGCAACTGTCATAAATCTATGCCAGTGTCCAAGCGCCCGAATTTTGATCACATGACCATGGGCATGCTGCAATGGTCATAAAGTGTGAAAAGTGGCCATCGGTTACTTTTTTTGCTGTAGCTTTGGTCGCTAAAGACTACCTGTCCTTTCTCATCTAATCATGTTCTGATCCAACACTTTGCAGAAGTGCTGAGACATTTATACCACCTGTCCATTTCTGGTTGACAGAGTCAATTGAAAATGCCAATAAAAGAAGACAGAATTTTTTAAAGTGATCTTTCTTAGAAAGAAATGCGCAATCTGATTTTTGGATTTTTTTAAATTTCCAGTAAGTTTTAAAATCCTCTATTGTTGAGGCAGCAGTTGTTTTGACAACACCGAGCTGTCTCAGACAAAGCCAAATATAAATGTCTTTTTTTTTTATTGGTTATGAACTTTCTGTGGAAACCGCGAGGCCACAGGCAAGTATGGCATTTGCCTAATTTCCTGACAGTTAGAACAATTAATCAGTGGAACAACCTGCCTCCAGAAGTTGTGAAAGTTTCAGCACTGGAAGTTTTTAAGAAGAGACTGGACAGCCATTTGTCTGAAATGATATAGGGCAGTGGTTCTCAACCTGTGGGTCGGGACCCCATTTGGGGTCGATCGACCATTTCATGAGGGTCGCCAAGCAAGGCTGTCCGCCATTTTTTTTGTCCGCCATTTTTTTCCCCTTTTCCGGCGGGTGCCTTACCTCCCTTGGGCTGGGCCATCTGGTGGTCGGCCTGCTCCGTCTCTGCCGCTTGCCAGCTACGCCTCGGCCAGCGCAGGGGGCGGAACCACGCATGCGCGGCGTTCCCGGGCAGGGAAAGTCCTCGACTTACGACCGGTTGGGTAGTCCTCGACTTACGACCGGTTTAGTCCTCGACTTACGACCGGTTTAGTCCTCGACTTACGACCGGTTGGGGTCGCAGCATTAAAAAGGTTGAGAACCACTGATATAGGGTTTCCTGCCTGAGCAGGGGGTTGGACTAGAAGACCTCCAAGGTCCCTTCCAACTATTATTATTGTTGTTGTTGTTGTTGTTGTTATTGCGGTGTTCCTCAACCTTGACTCTTTAAAAATGTCTAGACTTCAACTCCCAGAATTCCCCAGCCAGCATCATTACCCAGTTAACAATAAGATCCCTCGGTAACTTAAATAATTTTGCAACACCTGATTTAATGTTGTGCTTCAGATTGCTGCCAGAGTCTGTTGCTGACATGTTTCCTACCTTCTGTCTCTTGCATACGCAAGATCAGGCTGTGATTAAAATGTGCTGTTGTCGAAATGAATGACTGGACAAGTCATACTGTACTGTACCTTGCACAAATGCCTAAGCTAGACCACTGTCAAAAGGCCAGGGAAATCAAAAGATCCAAGGCACTTCAAATGGATATAAAGATTTATTGCAGGCTTGAGCGCTCTACAAGCAATATCCAATATAACATAATGTGCCTATTTACTTATTTGAAAAGGCAGGTAGTGAAACTTTATTGTAACATTTTACTATGTATTGGAGCAATGACTACACTTCCATTTATCTAGCTATCTTTAAACCTGAAAAGATGCATGGGAGATGAAATTTGCCTTTGCTTTATTGTCTTCTAAGTCTGGAGCCAATTACTGTTGACCTGCTTGAGAGGACATGACGGGTAGTCCTCAGCTTACGACAGTTCACTTAGTGACCGAAGTTACAACAGCCCTGGAAAAAAAGGTGATTTACGACCTTTTTTCACACTTAAGACCCGTGTGGCATCCCCATGGTCACATGATCAAAATTCAGATGCTTGGCAACTGACTCATCCTTACGACGGTTGCAGTCTCCTGGGATCATGTGATTCCCTTTTGCACAGGGTGGATAATAATCAATGGTGTTTTTTTTAAAAAAAATCGGATTGTTTTTATTTAAATCAGGTTTTTTTATTTTTATCAAATTTATTTGGAGTAAAGATACAGTAATAATTTAGTTTATTCAGCATGAAATGGAGCTTAGTTATGTAGCACGAGGCTGTATATTTTGCAATATTTACATTTTTGGTAAGCTCATTCAATGAATCCAAGCTGTGCAAGCTGAGATAACATGCACTGCATTGATACATTCACACAATTTCACAGTAACCATGAGATAAATCGTAAAACAACGTTCAGGAATATCCCTTCATCCCATTGTTTTGCAAATCTGTGTACACTACAAACTGTATGATTGTTTGCAGAGAAATGCATCTGTACCAGGCTCTAAGTGTTCTAGTTAAATAAAAGAATTTGAGTAGTTCTCCAACTATGTGTGATTAACCTATTAACCTAAAATCGGTTCTGATATCACTGTTTTACTAACCCTACAGCTTATTATTCTAAATAGGAAACCTTCATTTTGTTTGCAAATAATATTAAAGAATCTAACTACCAGCAAGAACGAGTCCTTATATTTAAAGAGCACCTGTCATTTCAGATCCATCATGGCAGCCTGTTAGCAGGCATCCACTCACCTGCTGCCCGCCACGTCCCTCACCTTGTGGTGTCATTGCCGCATCACCAGACGTCCCATTAAAGTGAATGGGACTGTCGGTGAGTCAATAGCGGGTCAGAGGAAGAGCCGCTGCAGGACAGAGATGACAGTTGCTCCTTAAAAATTATGATTTAAATTGAGTTGATTTAAATCAAGCCTTTTTACTAGTGATTTAAATCATGTTTTACATCGTGATTTAAATTGACTTGATTTAAACCAAATCCACCCTGCTTTTGCAACCTTCTGACAAGCAGGGGGAGCCCAATTCACTTTACAACTGTGTTACCAACTTATTAACTTACTCAGTGGTTTGTTAAAAAGGGTCATCAAATGGAGCAAAATTCGCTTAACAAATGACCCACTTGGCAACAGAAATTTGGGGCTCCATTGTGGTCATAAGTCGAGGACTACCTGCACTAGAGGTCCAAATGAATTGATGGTAGATAAGAGTAGAAGGAATTTAAGGTGGGCACGCAGGAACTCATGACTGATGACGCCTTTGACGCCTCCCTCAGGCTCAGCCTATTCATCTACCACAACCTCTGAGCTTAGTTTGACCAAATACAATTTCTCTGTTAGACAGTAATATCAAGATCCTAAGTTTGCCCTTGAATGTTACAAAGGATTAATATGGAATGTACCAGAACCCCTTTCTGCAATAGTCCCCCAAAAATAAAAAATCTGTGTGATTTGTGTTCACAGAGGTACAATGTGCAATGCTTGAAGGCATCTTTATTTTCTCTTCTTCAAGTTGTTTGATTCTTGGCTGTGTGGTTTGTTTTGTTTTGTTTTTGCCAAAAAGTATAGAAAGTGGTTAGCCACTGCCGTCTTCCAAGGTATTTTTCTGCTTTGAAGCTTCATTCTCAATTTTGGCATTTTTCAGTTTACTACCCATTCATGAACTAGGCCCAGATGTGCTTGATGTCAACGCTGCAAATACTGTATATTCTTGCTTTGACAATGTGCAGAACTGTCTGGTATATATATAGTTAAACCAGCAACTGGGAAAGAGGGAGGAGCATAAGGATAGCCCGGGAGAAAGAAACCGGAAGTAAATCACATCTTCCAAGTTGATTGGAAGATGTGAACCATGACCCTACAATAAGGGAGTGGAAAACGTTTGGAATGTTATGCGTAACGGAAGAGAAGCAGACCTAAGCATTCCACCATGCTGTGCTGACGTATTGTAACCTTAATAAATGCTTTTAGGAGAAAACATGCCTGAAAGTCCTTTTAAGTGTTTCGTTACTCAGACACTTGACACTTAATTTACCAAAGTGAGCTAAGTGCTCCTATCTAGTTAGCCTTTTATATTATATTCCACTAATTATACTGTGTTTCCCCGTAAATAAGACTGGGTCTTATATTAATTTTTTGCTCCAAAAGACACATTAGGGTTTATTTTCCAGTTAGGTGTTATTTTGGGGAAAATACGGTACTAAATGTGTCCGTATGACTGACGATCTTAACGGGCTTATTTTTGAGCTGGGGCCTATATTACAAGCATCCTGAAAAATCATGCTAGGGTTTATTTTCCAGATAGGTCTTATTTTCGGGGAAACAGGGTAACACTAGGGCAGGGGTAGGCAACCTTGGCTCTTTTATGACTCGTGGACTTCAACTCCCAGAATTCCTGAACCAGTCATGCTGAGGGGAAAGGGAGAGGTTTTCAAGCTGACGTTTGCGAAGATGGGCACAATTTGAAAGGGTAAGAGCTTCCCTTGTGGGGAGTAGATAGGCAGTTGTAGACTGGATACTAGCATTGTAGGCCTGGCCAGGGGACAGCTTGTTTCCAGTTTTTTAGGATCATTTTTTCCTTGAATACCAAATCATGGCCTTTTCTTTCTTGCAAGCAAATGGATGCTTTGGTTTAACTGTTACGCTTCCTTTCTCCTAAGGTCCGCCATCCTGTCATCTGTGCCAACAATCATGTCTTCTGCTCCATTTGTATTGAAGTATGGCTGAAGAACAACAGCCAGTGTCCTGCTTGTAGGATTCCCATCACCCCTGACAATCCTTGCAAAGAGGTCCTAGGTAAAGTAACTCTCTTTCCCTTTAAATACGTACAGTGTTCTTTTATACCAGGGGTCTTCACACTTGGTCCTTTTATGACTTGTGGACTTCAACTCCCAGAATTCCTCAGCAAGGAACGGTTGCTGGAATTGGGTATGTCTAGTTTAACAAGGACGAGGGGGGACATGATAGCAGTGTTCCAATATCTCAGGGGCTGCCACAAAGAAGAGGGAGTCAAGCTATTCTCCAAAGCACCTGAAGGCAGGACAAGAAGCAACGGATGGAAACTGATCAAGGAGAGAAGCAACCTAGAACTAAGGAGAAAGTTTCTGACAGTTAGAACAATTAACCAGTGGAATAATCTGCCTCCAGAAGTGGTGAATGCTCCAACACTGGAAGTTTTTAAGAAGAAACTGGACAGCCATTTGTCCAAAATGGTATAGGGTTTCCTGCCTGAGCAGGGGGTTGGACTAGATGACCTCCAAAGTCCCTTCCAACTTTATTATTATTATTATTATTATTATTATTATTATTATTATTATTATTATTATTATTATTATTATTATTATTATTATTACTACTACTACTACTACTACTACTATTATTATTATTATTATTATTATTATTATTATTATTATTATTATTATGTCCACAAGTCATAAAAGGGCCAAGTTTGAAGACCCCCTCTTTTATACCCTAATGCAGAGAGAGAAAACTACCCCTTTGTGTCCTTGATGGGGAGAGGCCCTTTTGCTTGAGATCAGAAGGGAAAAAATATGAGTGAGTCCAACCACTAATTTTGGCTATAGAGATTCTCAGTCACTCAGATCAATGGTTGTCCCAAAGGTGTGTTTTCAAGAGACAACTGGACTCTTCTTGTTTTTCTTTGGAAGACGTTTCGCTTCTCATCCAAGAAGCTTCTTCAGCTCCGACTGGATGGTGGGGAATGGAAGGATTTATACTCCTTGCAGACAGCTGGTCATTTGCCTTCTTTCAGAGAGACTTTGAGGCCACTTGGAGGTTTATCGGTGTCCTCAGGGTGACTTGAGAAACTTCTTGGACGAGAAGCGTAACGTCTTCAAAGAAGAACAAGAAAGTTCAGTTGCCTCTTGAAAAAACACTTTTGGGACAACCACTGATCTTCCTCTCTTATTCACTGATTTGCTAGTTAGTTAGTCTAAGTATCCACTCTACCCCCTCTCTCTCTCCTTGCTCAGGAAGTTAATTGAGGAAAGAAAACATGGCGAGTTTCAGATGATGACTTGCAAGCCTTTTTAAAAAAAAAAACTAAACTGAAAATCGGATTGCGAATAAAGGCAAATGTCCCAGGATCATGTTGCAGGATCCAATCTGGGCCGTTCACCGGGACCAGAGGTTGAACGACCCAGCTTGGATACTGAAAATCAGATTGCCCATCACTGCAATGAAATAGTGAGATGCACCCATGGAGCTGTGCGCAGCAACCTGTTAACTTAGTTTTTCTGAACAGATTTCCAATTGAATCTAGATGATGATGAGGATGATGATCATAAAAATCTGTTCGTTGTTGGCTGACATGTTGCAACTTTCCTCCATGAAGCAGTTGCCACTTTTTTCTTTTTTCTTTAATGCTGGCTGAAACAGGAAAAAGCATTTTTGATGGGGGGTAAAGAGAGAGAGCTTCACGGAGCTGTTTTCAAGGTGGGCCCAATTTAAGGCCGATCTGATTTTCCTGCAAGTATGCAAAACATAGCATTGAAATGAGATTTATTTATTTTTTTTAAAAAAAATTATTTTGCTGCAGGAGGAACGAGCGAAAGCAACCCGGTGTTTAGCCCTGCCATCCGAAAACAGCTTCGCAAAACCAGACTGGAGATACTGCACAAAGAATATGAGGTACGACTGCAGCAGAGAGAGTTGCTTGAGAAATATTTTATCCATTAGCACGACTGATGGGAGACAGCATGCTTCTGTACCTCCAGAAGTGCTTTTTTGTATTGATGTGGCTGAGTCTGAGGATCTACCAAGAGCTTTGCAAGGGGTAGGGGCAGCTCTCTGCATAGGAGATAAATTCCTTGTGTGTCTAACCACACTTGGCCAATAAAGAATTCCTATTCTGTTCTGTTCTATTTCTATTCTGCATTCTGTTCTATTCTATTCTATTCTCTATTCTGCATTCTATGCTTGCTATGCTATTCTATTTTATGCTATTCTGTTCTGCATTCTATTCCAATTCTATTCTCTATTCTATTCTGCATTCTATTCTATTCTATTCTATTCTGCATTCTATGCTATGCTATTCTATTTTATGCTATTCTATTCTGCATTCTATTCTAATTCTATTCTATTATGCATTCTATGCTATTCTATTCTGCATTCTATTCTAATTCTATTCTATTCTAATTCTATTCAACTCTAATTCTATTCTATTCTATTCTATTCTATTTCTAATTGAGCATGAGGAAAAAATCGCACACATATTCATGTGTGTGCTTTGATTGTGCGTATTTGTAGGACGGGTGCTCCCCAACTTACAACCACAACTGAGCCCAAAATTTTGTTGGTAAAGCGAGACAATTGTTAAGTGGGTTTTTGCCCCACTTTACGACCTTTCTTATTGCAGTGGTTAAGGGACTTGCTGCCGTTGTTAAATTAGTAACATGGTTGTTAAATGAATCTGGCTTCCCCCACTGACTTTGCTTGTCAAAAAAAGTCACCAAAGGCTGATCACATGAGTGACTTCATACATACACGCCAGTTGCCAATTGGCTGACATTTTGATCACATGACCCTGGGGATGCTGCGAAGGGAGTCAGTTTTATGTCCGTTTTTTTCAGTGCTGTTGTAATGGTCACTAAACAAAAGGCTGTAAATTGAGGTCTAGCTATACATTCTGGGATGACCGGGAGAATTATAATAATAATAATAATAATAGTAATAATAGTAGTAGTAGTAGTAGTAATAATAATAATAATAATAATAATAATAATAATAATAATAATAATAATAATAATAATAATAATAAAGTTGGAAGGGACTTTGGAGGTCAAGTCCAACCCCCTGCTCAGGCAGCTAACCCTATACCATTTCGGACAAATGGCTGTCCAGTTTCTTCTTAAAAACTTAAATTACTAAGCACGTGTTGGAAGCTTGTTGAAAAATGCTGTTTCAGTGTGAAGTACCTTTTTAAAAAAATAGAAATTATTGGCTGGAACAAAAGTATCACCCCAATTATCAGGGACCCGTGCAGTGATTCCCTGAAGATCCTAAGTATATACAGGTGTAGCCCTCGACTTACAACAGTTCTTTTAGTGACCATTCAGAGTTACAACGACACTGGAAAAAAGTGACTTAAGGCCGTTTTTCACAATTACGACCGTTGTAGCATCCCCATGGTCACGTGATCAAAATTCAGACACTTGGCGAGTGGTTCCTATTTATGACAGTCGCAGCATCCCCAGGGTCATGTGATGCCCTTTTGCGACCTCCTGACAAACAAAAGCCAGTGGGGAATCCAGATTCACTTAACAACCATGTTAACTAACTTAACAAATGCAATTATTCAACTTAACAAGTGTGGTGAGAAAAGCCACAAAATGGGACAAACTCACAACAAATGTTTCACTTGGAAACATAAAGTTTGGGCTCAGTTGCGGCCGTAACTTGAGCACTACTTGTAATTATTACATCCTTGTTCTTTTAGAAAAATGCCAAAAATCAATAACATCCTGATACACTTGAACAAAGTTTATCTATGTGCTGAAATGCTACAACATGGGTCTCCTTCTCACCCAATCCAGCCATTTCATCTTTCTTCCGTCCTGCCCTCACCTATCCCCCAAAACTCTTCATCATGAGTGCTTCCATTATTTGGATCACTTTCGTGTTTTCCTTGTAAATATTTAACAAATTATTCCATGTGAACTACTTGTGTGCCTGAAATACTGGATCTCATCTTTTCCTTGGCATACCCAGCAAACATGTATACTATATATTCAACACTTAACTTTTATATTGCTTTAAGTCAGGGACCGCTCCAGGCACAGCAACTAAATCAGATCTGCTTACCCTGCTATCAGAATTAAGATGACCAGGCAAGATGATCCCTTGATATGATCCAGCAGAATTGTGTATCTCCTAATGGGATCCATGCACATGTCATTTGGCGAAACACACTTAAATCTAGAACATTTATCAGATTCTGCCCTGTGGCCACCCTTCAGAGCTCTCCCTGAGAATTAAAACATCGTGGCTTCATCTGCTTTAAGCTGATACCGTTTTAGCTGTGGTCTCTACTTCACTCTGGACCTTTTATCCACTAGGATGAGATAGAATCACTACAGAAAGAGTTGGAAACTCTGAAAGGAGAAAACCTCAGCCTGGAGTCCCAGCTCAAATCTGTCCTACATCCTGAGACCCTGCAGGTGCCAGAGAGAACTCAGGAGAGTCCACAGCCCTCGGACAATGAGCACAAAGTGGACGCTGAGACTTTGGCAGCATGGACCCAGAAGCTGCAGGCTGCAAATGACATGTATGAGAAAGTGAAGGAGGACATGGAAAAATTAATGGAGGTAATGTCTGTTGATGCAACTAGGTGGCCGCCTGTGCATTGGCTGTTCACAGGGCATGGGTCAAAGAGGATTGGGACCTCAAATTGTCTTAAGTGTAATGCTCTAGTAATGGCCCCAAAGGTGCTTTTTCAAGAGGCAACTGGACTTTCTTTGTTTTTCACTTCTCATACAAAAAGCTTCTTCAGCTCTGACTGGATGGCGGGGAATGGAAGGATTTATATTTCTTGCAGACAGCTGGTCATTTTCCTTCTTTTAGAGAGTTGTTGAGGCCACCTGGAGGTTTATCTGTGTCCTCAAGGTCACCTGAGTAATATAAATGGGTGTGGAGCCTTCTTGGAACTGCTGAAAGGACTGTGTGTGGAGCTGTATTTTCTGCAGGGTGTTTCTGTAGCTCCACAACACACTCCTTCCAGTAGTTCTAAGAAGGCCCCACACCCATTTGCACTACTCAGGTGACCCTGATGACACAGGATAACCTCCAGGTGGCCTCAACAACTCTCTAAAAGAAGGAAAATGACCAGCTGTCTGCAAGGAATATAAATCCTTCCATTCCCCGCCATCCAGTCAAAGCTGAAGAAGCTTCTTGGAATGAGAAGTGAAAACATCTTCGAAAGAAAATGAAGGAAGTCCAGTTGCCTCTTGAAAAAAAGCACCTTTGGGGCAATCATGACCTGGATGACTGAGAATCTCCATAGACATTTATTATACTCTATTAATAACAGAATAATAGAGTTGGAAGGGACCTTGGTAGTCTTCTAGTCCAACCCGCTGCTCAAGCAGGAGACCCTATACCAGGGGTGTCAAACTCGCATCGTCACGTGACATGTGATGTATCACAACTTTTTTCCCATTGCCGGCAATGGGGTGGGCGCGGTTTCGGCATGACACATGCGGCCCGCGGGCCGGCAGTTTGACACCCCTGCCCTATACCATTCCAGACAAGCGGCTGTCTGGTCTCTTCTTCCAATCCTCCAATGATGGAGCACCCACAACTTCTAAAGGCAAGCCTGGGAGAATGTTTGTGAGAGACAGGAGGAGGAAGAGAAGCTGAAGACTGGGTAACAGATAGATAAGAGTCCACTGAGCCCTCAGAAGGAATGAAGCTGTGGCAGGCCTCTCTTAAAGGAGCATCCCTCAACTGTGAAAGCCGGGAGGAAAAGTATATTTTTAGACTTAACAAGATTCTGTTATAATAAAGTGTCACAGTAAGGTGCTTCTTCTCTGGACTACCTTAAAGGGTTATCGTACAGTCCAGTAAGCAACCGAAATACAGGTAATCCTCCACTTAACGCTAAGTGAGACAACCGTTCAGTGAATTTTTGCTCCGTTTTATGACCTTTCTTGACACATTTGTTAAGTGAATCGCTGCAGTTGCCAAGTTGGTGACACAGTTGTTAAGTGAGCCTGGCTTCCCCTTTGACTTGGCTTGTCAGAAGGTGACACAAGAGGATCACATGACCCCGGGGGACGCTGCAACCATCATCAATAAGAGCCAGTTGCCAAGCGTCCGGATTTTGATCACATGATCATGGGGAGGCTGCAATGGTCATAAGTGTGAAAAACAGTCATAGGTCACTTTTTTTGGTGCCGTTGTAACTTCGAACGGTCACTAAATGAACTGTTGTAAGTTGAGGACTACCTACAAGGTTCAGTCATGGTCAGTTGACCTTACGTTCTTTGACCACGGTCAAGTATCCTGTTAAATGAAAAACACTCCTGCAGAGTGATGTACTTTTTCTTGTTTTCTTGTAAGATCGAGCCAAAATGCTCCTAATGGCCCATAACCAAGACCAGGCACCTCATTGCTCTACAGTTTTCTCTATAAACAGAATTATGTGGCCTCCCTCGGGATCAGGATAACTGATGCCCTGCAGCTAATCTGAGCTTCATCTCCTACCAGTTAATAGTTCACGAGACCAATCCTAGGAGATTGCATGGCCATTTGACTCCACGGTATCTCAAGAGCGTGAATTCATCGTGCCTCTTAACGTCTGGCAGCCTTCTGTTAAATAATGCCAGAGAAGTTTCACAGATATTAAGCTCCAGTAACCATTTCAAAATATTGTTGCATATTGAACACGAGAATTCTGAGGACGTCGGGAGCTGCTAGATAGATTCCTATTGGCATCACAAGGGCATTTCATAAACTGCAGAGATGAACTGCAGATGAGAAATTCACCTCTTCTCCTGTGTAATTTTTAGTTTATTCAAAGGAAGTTAAAATACAATACACCAGAATATTTAAAAAAATATTTAAAAAATACAAACAAGACATTAAAAACGAAAAGTGTCTTAAAAAAAATAAATACATATATACATAATGTCCCAAAGCTGCTTTTTCAAAATTGGACTTTCTTGTTTTTCTTTGAAGACGTTTCGTATCTCATCCAAGAAGCTTTTTTAGCTCTGACTGGATGGTGGGGAATGGAAGGATTCAGTCAGAGCTGAAGAAGCTTCTTGGATGAGAAGTGAAACATCTTCAAAGAAAAACAAGAATGTCCAATCTTGAAAAAGCAGCTTTGGGACATTATGTATATATGTGTTTATTTTTTTTAAGCACCTTTAGAATAACCATGACCTGGATGACTGAGAATCTCCATAGGCATATATACCTAATATCCATTTCTGGTTGAATGCTGATTGATATAATATAACAATGTTAACTTCCTACCCTTGTGAAACAAGCCCAAAGAATTTTAAACTACTAAATCTGTTTACAGATTTTTAGCTTGTACTCTATGTATTATATTAATCACAAAATAGTTAAGAGGAAAAACAATAATTAGAGAAAAGTAATAAAAATAATAATAATAAAAGAAAAACAAGGTTGAAATTCCAAAACGCTCTGTTAACAAACTGTTTTTTTTAATATATATTTTTATTTTTTAAACCAACAAAACAAAACAAAACATAACACACATACACACACAGTATATATTCCTCCCTTTTTTTTACAGCGATTTCGTAACAGTAATCTTCTATTATTTACATTTCCCCCCCTTATTCTTCTTTAGAATAGTTGTCCTTGTTGCCCCATTATTTCTTATTTGCATTTTTCTTCCTTCATTCCTTCAAACTATTAATGGTAATCAACTCGTGGAAAATTTGAATCATCTCAAAAATTTATCTCTGCTGTGGTCATTGTTTTGCCCTGGTTAGCGAGCTCATACTGGAGTTGCACACACCACAGCCATCCATGTCCTGAGCACTAGAACCAGAATGTGCCTTAACACGGAAAGCTGCTAGCTCCCAGTTCTAATTAGAATCCAAGCAGCTGTACTTTATCTTAGGCCCTGGATATAATGGTTCTACAGGATCCTCACTTTAGAATCCCTGTATCATTTATTTCAAATGTGTCAACCCAGTTTGATTGCCCTAGGGAAATTACTGTGTCATCACGTCTTGCCCTGATGACGCCATTGCTTGAACCTAATTTCAATTTCCAGAAAACCCTTCAAGTGCAGGCTGAAATGCATTTCAGTCTTCTGAGTCCAATCTTGATACAAATTGTTATGCCTAAATGTTTGCCATCCAGGACAAGTTAACGACTGTGCAATCTTAGCTGTTCATCCCAAAAGTGGAGCCTCCGGTATCAAGCTGAATCTTGGAGGAATATCTCTCCTGGGACTCTGTGCATTAGTTGAGTTGGATAGCTCATTTACAAAGAACAAGCGGAAGACATTCGTCTTTCTCAAGAGAGAATTCAGAAGGATGATAGGTTCTAAAACACCTAGAGGAATCTAGACATTTGTCTTGTTGAGAATATCTAAGTGTAAATTCTTTGGTTGTTGCTAATTGCTATAATTTATAAAGCCTTAGTAAAACTACAGTTAGAATACTGCATCCAATTTTGATCACCGTATTATAAAAATATATATAGAGAGAGAGACTCTGGAAAGAATGCAGAAAAGAGCAACAAAGACTAACCATATGAAGAACGGTTGCAGGAATTGAGTTTGTCTAGTTTAGTGAAAAGAAGAACTAGGGGAGACATGATAGCAGTGTTCCAATATTTGAGGGGCTGCCACAAAGAAGAGGAGGTCAACCTATTTTCCAAAGCACCAGAAGGCAAGACAAGAAACAGTGGGTGGAAAGTAATCAAGGAGAGAAGCAACCTAGAACTAAGGAGAAATTTCCTGTCAGTGAGAACAATAAACCAGTAGAATGACTAGTCTCCAGAAGTTCTGGGTGCTCCATCTCTGGAGGCTTTTAAGCAGAGACTTGATAGCCACTTGTCTGGAATGGTCTCCTGTTTGAGCAGGGGATTGGACTAGAAGTCCTCCAAGGTCCCTTATTCGGTATATATTTCACAAATGTTTGAATGTTTATTTCCTCTTTGACAACCTAGGGGAAACATTGACTGTCAGAATCACTTGCCTGTTTTGTCTACTGATCCTTTTTTTCCAATCCGGGAGCTGCTAATTGCATTAGGCTGCTTTCCTTTTTCAATATCGATGACCAGATCTCCTTTCAAGGATTCCAATAATCTATCGTGTATCTGGCCGACATCTTCCGGTTTTGCAAATGTCATCTCACTGACGGAGAGACAGAAGTTCTCTCGACCTTCTAGAGCTGACCAATAACGTGTGGGATGCCATTTGCTGAAACAAGACCCTGGTGTCCTAGTGATTTAAAAGAGGCATTTCAGGCTTTAAAAGAACCAGCCCTAAAGCCTTTCATTATTAGGGCTTGTGCTTATAGCTGGGAGAGGCAACTGTTGTTTACGGTAGGGGTCCCCAACCCCTGGTCCATGGACCGGCACCGGTCCACGGCATGCCAAAAACCGGTCCACGCAAACAAGCGAAGCCCCATCCACGGGATGCAGGCAGAACATGGAACCACACCCCCTCTGGTCCATGGGAAAAAACCTCTCTCCATGGAACCGGTCCCTAGTGCCCAAAAGGTTGGGAGCCACTGGCTTCTGGGATAGCAAGTAATATTTTTCAAAACTTCATCCCTGAGAGAAATATTTACTACTAAAGAAAAGTCAGTCTGTTGTA